ATGTGATAACATTAATTAGAATTACTAAATTAAGAAGAAAGGATCTAAGATAGTGCCATAACTGTACTAAGAGAAGGAGATGGGGTGTGTTTAAATAAGCTCCTTCCACTTTTCTTACTGCTCACTCTCCTTCAGTCGTATGGCCTACTCGCTGGTTCTCATATTCACTAGGTACACCTCTGCTTTGGAGCCTTTACTTAAGAGCCTCTTCTCCCAATAACCACAGGGCTAAACTCTCTCTCCTTTGACAAGTCTGTAAACAAATGTCCCTTGTCAAAGAGACCTACCTACCTTAGCTATCCTATTTAAAGTTACAATACTCTCACTGATGCTAGTAATCCTTCTTGCCCTGTTATATAGTTTTTATTCCATTTTATTTATCACCTTCTAACCTTATTTACTTTGCTTTTTTATCACGTTTATTGCCGTTGTCTGTCTTCCCTATTATAAGTACCCCAAGGATCTTTGGCCAGTTTGCTCACTGACCTATCCCAAGTGCCTAGAGCAGTCCCTGGCATATAGTAGCTATCAATAAATAATAATTGAATGAATGAACTTGATAATTTCCAAAGCCTTTAAATACATATTCAGTATTCACTACTAATTCCAAATTTCCAAAAGATTTTTTTAAAATCAAGATTTTTTTAAAAAAATCCAAATTGCACATTATAAATTATACTTAACAGTACACTCTCACCTGCAGGCAAGACTTTTTGAAAATCCATAGGTTATACGCTTACTCTACTGTGCTGGTCTCCAGGGGATGAATTGCACAGCCAGTTAAACTCTAAACTGGATTCCCAGGATCTCAACGCTTTCATATTGAGAATTCAAAGATAAAATTGCTGGTAAGCACTGGGTCAGCATGCTTATCCCAGCTCCATCGATTGTATTTTGAGAAACACATTGCATTTAGATATTAACAAAATTAATTAAATCAATCTGTACATTTTTGGGTTTGCCCCCAAATTTTCCAAATAACTAGACACAAAAACCGTTACCCCCATATAAACATTTATACACATGTGCACAAATTACAGCAATAATTTATCTTTAAAAACAATAGTTTATCGGGGCCAGCCGAGTGGCGCATTGGTTAAGAGCTGGCTTGGGACGCCAGAGGGCCCTGGTTGGATCCCACATATGAGGGCCAGTGACACTGCCCTCNGCCATTTGTCCAGGGGTCCACGATTAGGGATGTATTTGACCCCACATCCATCTGGGATAAGCCGCTTTTTAGCCACCATGTCTTCAAACTCATCCGCATTAAACTTAGTAAAGCCCCACTTCTTGGAGACGTGGATCTTCTGGCGGCCAGGAAACTTGAACTTCGCCCTGCGTAGAGCCTCAATCACATGCTCCTTGCTCTGCAGCTTGGTGCTGATGGACATGATGACTTGGCCAATGTGGGCCCTGGCCACTGTGCCCTGGGGCTTTCCAAAGGCACCCCGCATACCTGTCTGGAGTTCATCAGCCCCAGCACAGGACAACATCTTATTGATGTGGATGACGTGGAAGGGGTGGAGCCAAACTCGGAAGTGAAAGCCATCTTTGCCACAGCTTTTCACCATGTACTTGTCGGCACAAATACGGGTAACCTCCAGAGCTTTGGAAGAGAGCTGCTCAAAATTAATGTATATTTTTAAAATGTGTGAACACAGATTCTGGCTCTGCACTTACTAGATAAGGCTCTTAATCTGTTTGTGTCTCAGGTCTTTAAACTGGGATAAAAACAGAAACTACATCCTGGGGTTGCCTGAGGATTAAACACATTAGTATATGCAAAATATTTAGAACAATGTTACATAACTATCAGCCATTATTATTACTTTATCAGGTGTTGTGAGGATTAAGGTACATGAGATAACCGCTGTGGAGCTCTTGGCACAGTGTCTAGCACATGAAAGGGTTAAATACATGTTGGCTATGATTATAAACAGATATTTCTGTGATTTCTTATGAAGCTCACATCTTTATTAGGTACATTTTACCTTTCTTTCACAACTTAGACATATGTGGAACTTGTTATCATAATAAGCATTGATTTTTTTCACAGTTATTCTTCAGTCAAGCCACTCATTTTTCAGTCCTATGGCTGCATTGTCCAACATGGCAGCCTGTGGCCACATACGGCTATTGAGCGCTTGAAATATGGCTAGTACAAATTGGGATGAGCTGTGACTGTAAAACACACACTGGATTTCAAAGTTTTACTATGAAAAAA